TCAAGCTTGCATTCCCTTCAACACTTCTCAACCAATGGAATTTCTCCCACGATCCCTTGGACCATTCCATTACCCTTCCCACTGGGATCAGGGCTGATCTTGCTTGGTGGTTCAACAGGGAACTTACCATGGTGAGGGTTTCCACTCCTCCACCTTGTCCAGAGTCTCATTTGTTTACCGATGCTTTCTTGATAGGCTTTTCAGACTTTGGATCTTCTTTACTGGAACCATAATCACTACATTGTGATCTTGGCATGTCACGTTATCAGCATTATGAATCTGATGGCCGATCACTTATCTTGACCCAACTAGGTTCTCCCCATGGAGTGGTCCCTTCTTCCATGAGTATTTCAGTGGGTGTGTTCTCAACTGGGAACACCACATATAAATGTGTATGCCACTCAATGGAACACCAAAATTCCTTCCTTTTGGTCTCTGGCTCCACACTCTTCAGCTCTGGGAGTTGATGAGTTCAGTCAGGATTGGAGAGCATTCACCTATATACCTATCCTCCAACCAGACTCCTCTACACTCTTTTCCCATATCCAGATCACTCCTTGTCGTGTCCTGCATGTTGCTCTATATTGACCTGCTCAGACCCTTACTGAAGCGATATCCCCTATCCTTATCTCTGTCCCAGTCTCTCCTCCAACAACGACGTTTGGACATAGTTCATTCTGACATTACCTAACTTCATCTTCAGAAGTGGCTTTTGTCTGGAACCTTGCCTCAGCTCAAGGACTTACTCCTCGTGTAGAATTTTTCCTCTCCCATTCCAATCGACCTACCTCCTTGTCTGTGTACCAGAGCTGGTGGTCTACCTTCAGGCCTTGGTCAGTTTGCTGTGGCTTCTGCCCTTCCCTTCTTTCAGTACCTCGTCTTTTCCAGTTCTTCTCCTAATTGCTTGATCAGGATTTGTCCAAGTCAACTGTTTCTATTTATAGGTCTGCCCTGTCAAGACCATCTCCTGTTTCCAATAAGCTTTCTCCTCCCATATTATTTCCCTCCTTTTGTCTTGTCCATCCTTCACATCCCTTTGTTTTCCCATATTGGATCTCTATTTTTGTCATCATTCTGATATTTATGCTATTGGTGTTACTTGCATCCTTTACCATTCCTCTTATGTTATCTTTTATCCTGATCGGGCCTTCCCTACCTTCTATTTCCTAACTGTATTCCCACTCAGTTCCAGGTAGACTTCTTTGTCTGGTTCATTCCCTGAGATGTTATATGGCTCATACTGCCTCTTTCATGTTATCATTCCTGTTTATTTGTTCCAAGGATTCCCTCTGTGTCTTGTGATCTGTACCCTATTGCACTCACTGGTTGGGTTCATCAACTCTTACGACTGGCATATTCTGACTTGTCCTTTGCCAGCCTTTGGAGGAGATCGTACAGGTTGGAATGTTAACGACTCCCAGTACATTCATCGCACATTATCTGAACAACTTGGCTGTGTGTTCCTCAGGCAGGTATCATCTTTCATTTGTGGCAATTCTACACAAGTCTGTTTGCCTTTGACTGGGGGTAAGTCGACATATTACTATTCCTAAGTATTTTTAGTTCATCCGTATCATATTTCAGGATCCCACATGGTGGCAGGTGTTGCTTGGTCAGGTATGCTTAATATTTTATTAGCACTAAATCTGCATACTTCTCTAAAATTCACTGTTGAGATGGGGGTGTTTCTGTAAGACCACTGGCAGCTTATCCGGTGGTATGCGTGTGTATATATATATATAATATCACAGTTTTATATATAAAGGACCTTCACTCATGGATTACTCAGTGATTCCTCCAACTAGAGTCTGGCACCATACTATGGCTTACTATCACTATGTTTGGTACTATAGCCTGCTATATATATGGATGAAGTATGAAATGTCTGTGGGCAACAAGCTGGTTATCAACACTCTCATGATCATACTCATCTCAGTTTTTTTTCTTCTTTATTCTTCCTATGTATCCAAGGTGCTTCCCATGGATGCTTTTTTCCCAGGAGGACCTCAATTGTTGATCTCATTATCTTATACAAGGTGTTTCCACTGAATGTATTGGCCAAATTAACTGCACTTGACATACTCTGATGTAACCCAAGGCATTACCCTTGGCACATATTTATACAGGCCCATTGTCACTTCCACACTAATTTTCCATGATTGGTAATGCTGTGCTGTTTCAAATTATGTTTCTACCACACTTTTCCATTAATTCAAAGCTGTACGTCCCTTTTATGATTGCATTAGTACCTGTCAATTCAGTTCTACCCCACAAATGTGCTTTCTTTTCATATTCTTGCACACCTGTTCTTTTGTTGCATTCACTTTCTGTTTGATTGGATATTGATGCACCTTCACCGGCCCCTCCACCTTTGCAATGTGGGATTCTAGCTTTGGGTGAGAAGAGGTAAGACTGTTTCAGAAGTTAACATTTTCTTACACTGAAATTATATTTCTGATAGGTACTTACCTCCTTTCACTCACTTCCCACCCTACCTCTCCACTGATATGCCAGTATTTCTGGTTTGAACTTGTCAATTATTGAAAGTTAGGATTACTTTAGAATAGTAGAGAGAGCTAACTGCACTAGTATAGAGAGCACAGTGTGATTGGTGGAAGGTAGCCACATGAGCAGCACATTTCTGACATGACATGAAACTGATGGGATATAAAAGACTGGTGCGCTGTTAGCAAAAAATAATAGCAATGCCTAGAGGGTAGTCCAGAATCAAGAAAGCTTTAGGTGAGAGGAGGTAAGTACCTATCAGAAATATATTTTCAGCATGAGAAAATGTTAACTTTCCCAAGTGTCATCTTCCATTTTTCTATACATCTATAACATTTCTAGTACACTAATGCCTCAATTATCCATGCCTCCATTATCTGTGATCCTTGATTATCTAGGGTTTTTTCCTTCCCCCAAATTTTCTAGAAATAATTGTACCAATACAATTCTAGACAATAATTTACATGTTTTGGAGAAATTGTTGCTCAGAAATTAATTTTGGTTGCAAAAGTTCAGGTGTTGCATGATATTTGTGGTTTTCGTGTGCAGGATCTGGCATGCATTAAAATTGTAAGTTGGCCAGTTCAAGCTTAGCCTTGCCTCTTTTATTTTTAGTTGTTAAGATAGGAATACAGAATATTTGTAGCTTGGTTAAGTTTATTTGTTTAGTGATTAAAAACATGGTACACAAAAACACACAAAATAAGATTTCTTAAACATTTCACTCAACTTCAGTTGTCATCTGCTGTTTTGTCTTTAACCACAGATGCATGTTCAGGTTGTGTTGCTGTGTCACCCAGTTATGCATTGGTAACTGCTTATCTATCTACCTGAGACGTACATAAAACTCAGCAATTGATGCAAGGTTGATAGATGGGCTTGCATCTTCTTTGGATTGAATTGTATCTGTGGTTGATTTTTCAAGGAGCTCCACCATTATTTGCTCATATGTGAGATCTTTGCAGGTTGCCAGATTATCATTCTGTTCCTGCCATTCATCAGTGTCAATGCTTAGCATTGGTGGACTTGAAGGTCAGTAGTTTTAGGTGTCTGTATAAGATGTTTTCAGGCATTTTTCAATGTGGCAGGTTTCATTGTGTTCCATGATGATCCAATGGTTATGATTGTGGAGTGTTGGTTCCATTACTGGAACACATTCATCACAGTCAGCTATTTGGTGGAGGAATGAGGTCATATATTTCTTCTTCAGTGTGGCTATGACCCCTTGATCCATTGGTGGGATGATAGATGTGGTGTTTGGTGATAGAAATATTGTCCTGATTCCATCCTTCTCAAAGTGCCCATGCACCAATACATTGTCGATCAAAACAATGGCTTTCTGGGGGAGCCTTGAATGTTGTAAATATTTAAGTAAATCTCACTGTTCAAAAGGTAGTCTTTCTCCTTCTCTGTAATGTTTATTTTCTTCAAGAAGCTGTGCCACATTGCAGTGGCATATTTTTATCTTCAGTGCATATGTTAAACATTGTTTTTATTTTTCATGTTCATTCTCTTAATTTTTATTTTACCTACTAATCAAGATTTTATGAATATCTGTAATTGGATGTTACTTGCAGACTTCTGAGTCCTTGGTAGTGTAACCTTCTTTCTGATTTCTCCTGACATGTGTCTTCACTAAGAATGTGTCTTCAGACTGACCCAGCTGCTCTCTATTCCAGTCTTTTTGTAATGTTATTTATGAGAATTGCTTCAGTGGTTCCTTTTTTTAACTGAGGTTTTCAAGTGCTGTGACCTAAATGAGACAGTGTATGGAATTTGTGAAAATTTTAGTGTAGAATTAATGACACTGTTATTAATGTTTTTTTGTTTTTTACTATTTTATAATTAACAAATGAAATACAGGATAGTCCTTGAATGTATCTATGTTTTGTTCACTTTCTGCATTTCCAAGCTAATTCATTGTTATTCTTATTATCAGTAATAAATAACTGCTGTTTTGATGAGGTGTGTTGGTTGGTTGCTATTCATTCATGTGTTTAATTTCCATTGTTTATTTAGGTTCACGTATTTATACATGTTAATTGATAAGTTCACATTTATTTCATACATGCTTCTACAGGAAATCTGGTATCACAAGATTTTACTGCCGTAGCAGTTGACTGCTGATGCATTTTACTGCTACCAAGTAATTATGTTCTCTTAACAATACATTTCTAACTTTTAAATAATTTTAACTAATAAACTATCTCACTAAATTTGATTAAAAATAAAATTGAATAATTTGCTGGGGAAAAAAGGTATCACTATATAGCAAATACATACACTATTATTTATGTTTGCATGGGTACATGTTATTGTTTTCCTTTATAATATTCTGATAATATAATTTCTATACATGCAGAAAACCTTAAAATGGAATAATTAATTGCTGAATGTCTTTGCCAGCAGTAAAATGCACTGGTAGTCATTTACTATAGCAGTAAAAATTTTGTTGAACCATGAGATCTAATTTAGGAGTAATCTTGATTTTTCAGACTTAGAAGAACTCAGAAGTGACGTTAAGTCAAAATTATGGTTTACGTACAGAAAGAATTTTGCACCAATTGGTAAGTTGTAACTTAGTTAGATAAAGTCATAGTTAATTTGTGGTTGGTGTACCTTTAGGATACTTTTAAACTTCTGTTGTTTGTGATAGTTTCCAAATGGATAATTACTAATGGGATTTTCTGACACATTTTAATGGGTTTTAATTTCCCATCATTTTTTCACTGTAATGCTACTCTTAAGTTGAAAATAACATTATATTATATTAAACCTAGACATGTATTTATAGAACATGTGCTTTGCTATACCTCTAATAACCCTCTGGATACAGATGCATAAAGATGAGCATCTCACAACATTTTTCCAAATTTAATAAAACTACATTTTTTATCACAAACGTAAACAAACTTGGCATCTAAACATTAGCTAATAAATCAAATTTTAGTTTAAGTTTTTCATTTCTTAACTTCAAAAGGAAATGTTTAAATAAATCACATGGCACTTATGTACCATGGATTGCCCACTTAAACATTTTCTCCGTTATGACTAGTCTGATGGATAATAAATTTTCACGTTAAGCTTAAAAATAGTTTTATCACCTTACAGTTTTCAAATTTCATCTGCATAACCTCTAGAACCTCCAAAATGAATATCAAAATTTTTTTTTCAATAAAAATTTATATTTTAATTATCATTTTCTCCATCCTAACACTATATGGGCTTGACCTTGTAACCACAACAAAAAGAATGAAATAAAACTAAGGTATCATTTTTCTTCTTCTAGATTGACTGCAGATTGTAATAGAAAATAATTATTCATCCTAAATAGTCTGAGGCTTGTAACAGTTTACATTTGTTTTTATTTTATTATTTTACTGCTCTTTGAACCATATTTAAATACTAAATATGTTTTAAAAAGCCACAGACACTTGTTGAGCAAATAGCTCAAGTTATGATAAAGCTAATTATCGAATTACATAACTCTTGTTCAGCTCATTTTGTAATGTTTTTTCATTTATGTTTTCTTATAAGTTTCTAATTTTTATATTTTAGTTATTTTTATAACAAATACAAAATATTAATAAAAAATAAATTTAGTACTTACCTGCGAGTCTTGTGCTTTATTGCAGTTGAAGACTCAAAGTATCAATGAAAGTTAACCCTAATTTTTGCTAGGATTGTTGTTAGTATTTATTTCAAATATTCAAATTAAAACATAAAATAATGATATGCACAAAGCACACAATATTCTATAAAGATTATAATTTAGCTGGCTTTCTAACTAAGCTATAAGTATGTTAAAGTAATTTCCTTATCATGTTCAAGGTGAGCTTAGTGATAGCTACTTTGAAGCTGTAGGCCAAATAATTTAAAAGTTGATGTCAGAACAAGATAGTGTTGTATGTAATTCAGTAAATTAAAATCTTCTCCTTCTATTGGTTATAGGTAATATAATAGCAAGCATCGGAGAAAATTACTGACATTTTTTTTTAAGGAAGTAAGAGATAGGAGGGCATGGCATGTGGGTTTGACTTTCTAGTTTATGTTTCTATAAAACAAGACGACTGAAGGCTTTATCTATACTATAAGTCTGTAATTTGTACTAAAACTCAAAAGCTGAAACAGGGGTTGAATCAGAATATGACTCCTTAAGTTCACGGAAAAATCTTTAATAAAGATACTTAATGAAAAAATCTGAATTTTTGTGTATCAAAGACTTGTAAAGTTTATTAAAAGCTTGTAAAATTTCATGAATATGCATTTATTACATTAAAAGTTATAGTATATATATAGTTTCATGATTACATGGTGGTAAATAAGTCACTCAAAATGACCAATTCCACATACAGGGAGTTAAATAAAACTTCATACCCTCTGTTAAGTGATATGAATATAGACCCTTATTATTGTGTTCTAATTTATGCATTCCAAGGAATGCATTCTTGGATGAAATGTATATTTTCTGTTATCTTTAGTCTCTGTCTTTTACAGATTCAACTTTCAGGTTAATACTTTATCAGAGCTTTCGGCTAAAAGTTTGTACCATGTATTTTTAAGATTTCAATAGTTTGGATGTTTTCAGAATTTTAACCAGTGATGAATGCTTGGTTAGATTGATAATGAGATTCAGTTTAACTAGTGCTTTACTATTTAAAGTGGCTAATTTTTTATGTTGATTTGATGGTGCTAGCCTTCACATGTTTATTTTTATAGGCCAAGAATACTTTCTAATGCTTTCTATATGAACAATGGGTACTATACATTATTTTAGTTCACTTAGAATTCTTGATGAGTAAAGCATTAACATTTTCAAAAATCCTTGATTACCTTGGTTTCTAACAGGTATTTTCCTTCTTGCTTCAGAACTTATGTAACAAATCAGAAACGTTTTTCATCTTAAACTTCTAGCAGATGTGGCGAACAAAAACTTGTTCAACAAAGATAAGTAATAAATGCAACCATGAAAAATAATATAGTCTCAATCAACAGCAGAAAAACAAATAAAAAAATATGAACACTGAAAGAACCAGTCACAGTATCTATTCAAAGAGGCTAAATATTCAGACTTTTAGATGTATCGTGAAACTCCTAAGTATATGTATATATTGAGAAGACAACATAACCCACATAAAACTAACAAATATTTTATCCATGAAACAGTACTTGAGATTCTAATGGCAATAATGAGAGAGCAAAGTAATGGAAAAGTTAAAAGTGTTCATCAGACATTACAAATCACGATACAGAAGCTTATGAACAAATAAAACTATCAGATACAAGTACACTGTAAAGTGGAAATGCAAAGCACTGTAAACTTACTGACAAACTGATTTTTGAAGAATAAAAATAATCTTTTAGAGTGAAAACAAAAATTGCCACTTAAAGTCAAAATGATGGTGACATGCATTTTCTGGTCACTAAAGTAACACTCCAATATGTATATTTCAAACAGTAACTTAATTATTTAATATTAAATGGCAGTTTTTCAGAAGAGAAAAAATAAGTAATTTATCTTAATAATAACAAGGATAAAAACATTATTTTATTATTAACTATCTACATATCTAAAACTATGTCAACATATCGGTCAATTTAGTTTATTAAACATTGACAATTCAAAAATTCTATAAAAAAATATCAAAACCTAGGCAGTAAAATATTGGGTTCAACTATTACACTACTTAACTATATACTTTAAAATGTACAAATTAACTTCAAAACATTTTAAGTTCCAAGTGTTTATTTCTAGTTTCCCATGTCTGAAGTACCTTAAAGCTCAAGACTTGCTAGACTTTAATTAATTAGACAGACTGGACCATATTTCTTAACTAATTAGGTGGTACTGGCCCTACAACAGACACAGGATGGGGTTGCATGCTACGATGTGGACAGATGGTTCTGGCCCAAGCTTTGATCAACCATCATCTTGGAAGAGGTATGAATATTGCATTTAAATTAAAATCTTGTAACAGAGGGTGTAATTATTTTAAAGTAATTACTGATTGAACTCCTAAACAGAAGTGGGTGACCACGAGAATTATATTTATCATCGTAATGGCAACTATTAATGGATTACAATGTCTATAAAAGAAAATCAGGCTTTAGATGTAGTTTTAAAATTAAAAGAGACAACAGTTATATTTTTATAATTTGAGTGTGGTAAATGCTTTTACATCAGTTCCTTCTGCTGATACCATGTGTTTTTAAATAATGTCCAGTATGATGAAATTACAGTTTTTGGAAAGCTGTTTGTTTTTTTATATATGCAAGGTTATTGAATGGTACACTACAACTTATATTGTAGTATACATATACAACATTTTGTTTAATAGAAATCAACAAAATACTTCGTACTTAACTATGGTCTCACCTTTTCCAAAACACACTAAGAAAGAGTATATACATTGCTCATAATGAAATGGAAAATATTTTATAACCCTTCTCATATAACAATGTGTTAGCAGCCAATGATGGCCCTTCTCACTGTATGCTCAAGGTTCCAATGGATACACTTGAATCAAAAATTTTTAAGAGCATCAGTTGAACTCTTGTTGTTTTTTTAACCAAAGTTCAAAAACAGGGATATTTGATTGCTATGGATTTTTTTCTTCTATTATTTAATGTTATGTGATGAACAATAGAACGACGCCAACAACAACAAACACGTGTGTACAGTAAAAAACATTTAATTCTTGAACAATTCAGATTGTACATATTTCATCTTCAACAAGTTATATTGAACAAGGTAAAATATTAGGTACAAAAATATCTAAAGTTCCAAGATTTCATAAAGAGTAATTAAAATAGAAATAAGAGGATCAATTCAACTACAAAACAAAAAGAATAGGATAGTGCAACAATTGTATCTTGATTAAACATTTCAAAGTCATCTGATCTGGAACAACCAATATTGAACTTTTAATTAAAGAAAGTTTATTTATTATAAATGAACTCCCAGCTTAATAACACCACTTTGCTACAATTAAGTCTGTTTTAAATAACTTGTATAATAGTGTTACAGTTGTTGCACAATCCTATTCTTTCTTGTTTTTGTTGTTTTAATTGACTTAGTGAACTCTTTCTAACGAGTCTTGTGTGTGTGTGTGTGTGTGTGTGTGTGCCTCCCCCATATGAGATAAACTGTAATATTTAAGTTAAACTAAAAGTTAAGTTAAAATGAAACAACTTCTAACATTTCAAGTTAAAATATCCTATTAAAACTCTAAAACAAAACTATAATAAAAGAGAAATCTCATAAAAATTCTCAAGTTTGATGTTTTTATCACTTGAATCTCAAATACAATATCTTACCTCCTCTCTTACGTATAGCTGTTCTTATTCAGTGCTGCCATCTAAAGCAAAACGTTTTTCACATGCCACAAGCCTTGAACTCCACTTACACCACAATTAACATGGTTCACTGCATCTTCACATGTAAATCATTATGCGACAACCCTCCACCAATAGGAGCACGACACACTTTCCATGTCAGTTTCGGTCATGCATGTGACTCCCTCTGTTTTATTCTACTGAATTATCACTTCTTGTTAGGTAGTTGCTCAGTACAGACATTTTCAGTTGTGCTCTTTTCACACGTTGAGTGCTTGTTTTGGGGTGAAGAAGTGCTATACCAGGAGTACCCCATCCAGATTTGTATCTGTTCACTGATGCTTCTCTTCACAGTTGGGGGATGTGGATCAATCAGCAGGTGGTTTCCAGTTAATGGTCTCAGAGCAAAATGTCATATCATATCAATACCTTTGAGCTTCTGACAGTATGATGTGCTCTGGGTTATTTCCTTCCTATTGTATGGAACCAACTCATCATGATCCACTCAGACAATTCCACAGTTATAGCCTATATCAATCACCAAGGTGGTACCCATTCCTGTTCCCTTTGTAGTCGAACATAAGAACTACTTTATTGGGTCCACACACTATGGATACGTTTCACTGTGTGTTATTTTCTGGGTGCTTTCCCAGGTCAGGTCCTTTTGATTTCTTCTTACTGATTAGAACTACCTCTTTTAAGACTAAAATACATCTTAGTTACTAAGCTTGATAAATTATAGTGGAATTCTATGGTATTAATGTAGTAA